CATTTAACCCGATATAAACATAAATAGATGGCGAACTCGTGCAATTGGATTTTTCTAGGTCTATTTCAATTCATATTATAGGTCAAAATATATGTTAATCATCGTTTTTACCTGTATAAGAATGAGCTCTTGTGGATCGAATCAGTCAAGCAAATTGTTTACCCTTGTTTCACTTTCAATGTTGACATTCTTTTCCTTTTAATAACTGAACACGCCTAATTCATGCGTAACCCATCTCTAGCTAAGGGTGTTGTATACATAATTTTCGTTATAAATAAGGGTTGCTAGTTAACAGTCTGGTATCTGTATCATTCCGGAATCGGAAAGGGTTATTCCGTATTCGGTTTGATAATTAACTCTCTCTCATTTCTTGTCAATGCGGGTAGCAGACCTTATTTTTATTGAGTGCAAAAAATAAAAAACGATCTTATTCGTTATTATATGTGTCCTTAACATACAAAAGTCCCCCAAAGATACAGAATGGTGGAGGTCCCTTAAAGTAATGAAAATTTGAGACAGTTACAGGGCTGAGATCTGTACAATTTTTTTTCACACGTGGTTCTGGAAAAAAAATTTCAAGGTCGCCATTTTAACATCGTCACCAAATAATATATTTGCCTGTTGGTATGACTCTTAGTAGATTAAGGAGATAGAATATAATACAAACGCCTTGGACACTGGTATTAGATTACGTAAAACCCCTATTGTATTATCTGACAGTAAGGCCAGATATCTCCGTAACGAGGTTATCCGAGGCATTGAAAAGGATATTGTCTGGTGGTTTGAAGGAGGTGCCACAGTAGAAAAACAATTCAGATTTTTACAAGAGAACCTTGAAGTTGAGTTACATCGGCATCCTCGTATTGTACTGTATTTATGGCTGGGTACATGTAATTTGACGGTAAAAGACGGTGATCTGATACAATTAAGATCGACAGACAATTCGTCTGCTAATGAGTTGATAACAAAATTCAGAGAAATTTATGCTTTTATTAGAGGTTTTCCTACCGTAGAACCTGTATTATTGGAGCTACCCCCGTATTCCATTTTTGAATACAACAAATATAAAGGTTGTGAAGATCCTAAATATAAACAAGATGACAAAAAGTTGAATGAGCAATGGGAGTCGTTAACACTTTTGTAAGAGAAACAAATCTCATTTACAGGAAAGAATCACCAAAATTTTCTCTTGATATCGAAAATACGAGAAAAGCTAGGAACAATCATGCTAGATACTCTTTCAGATTAACAACATTCTATAATGACGGTATTCATCCTATCCCAGCTCTTGCGAGACTTTGGTTGTTGAGAATATGTCGACGAATTGTTACCGACTGTGCATAATAAACAGTCAACATTACATGCGCCAATAACTCATTCAACAGCAGTTTAGACCAACATTTAAACTTCCGTTTTCTGGAACTGCTAATATTCAAGAAGTCCCCCCTACACAAATATCATTTCAACCAGAATCTAACGTCGGCGTATCGCTGCCACACACGTTGAATTATAAAATGGAACGTTTGGCTAAGTGCTCCGAGTTTCACGGGTATCCTCAAGATAATGGTAATACGTTTTTGACTGAATTTGAATCTTTCACCACATTGCATGGTTTATCTGAATTTAACCTAACTGACAAGCGCATGCTAGCCGCTTTTCATTTACACCTCAAAGGTCCGGCTTTAACATGGTACAACTCATTAAGCGATGAGAGCAAATCCGACTGGAAAAGTGTCCGTATTCTTTTTAAGTAGAAATTTATGTGGGCATGGGGCTAACGCACTTATGCATAGTGAAATATTCCAGAACCTGAATTTGTCGTCCGGTCAAAGGGTGGAGGATTTTTATTGTCAAATTTATGAAAAGGGTAAATTACTCGCCAAGCCGGAACATGAAATGCTCTCAAAATTTATCAGTGGCTTGCCGGAGCAAATGTCATTTTTTGTTCGCGCAGGAATGCCTCAAGATATGCAAAACGCCCTCGCATCCGCAAAAATGGCAGAAGCCTATGGTTACAGAAAACACGATGATTCTGTTAATGCCGCAGGATTGTTCAAAAACAAATCTCGTGATAATAGAAGAACCGCCGACAATCAAAATACTGAAGTGCGCAATTTGCGACAACAAATTAAGGAGTTAAGCGAGATGGTGAAAGTTCAAAAGGAAATGAAATCCGATAAAAGTTCTCCGCAGGCTCCTACAGCCGCTTCATCTGAAATATCCGAAATGAAGGATAAGATACAGACATTAACGTCTCTTTTATCAGGCATGAATGTGCAGAATAAGCCACAAGCTACAAATGACCGACAACATACGCCTGACGGCAATAATAATTATCCAGCGAATAGCCGACAAGTTACCAATGATCGCAATAACTTTTCCGGACCGTGTTTTAAATGTAAAGGTAGAGGTCACCGACGGCGTGAATGTTATTGGAATGGTATGGGCCAAAATTAGTCGACTGCAAAATGTCAGTTGTGCCAGCAGGAGGGGCATACAGCAAATGTCTGCACAAAGTTTGATTCGGGAAACCGACAGAACCCGGGAGACAGGCACGGTCGTCCGGGATAGATTCCGACAGTGCCTTTATATACTTCAGTTCACAAAAGAAGCTTCAATTTTTGTACATAAATGTGTTTTTCGATCAGCTGAAAGTGGCTGCATTAGTTGACTCGGGCAGTTCTATTAATATCATGTCGAAATCTTTATTTGATTCCGTTTCCAACAAACAAATATTATCATTTGAACAGTTAGATTGTTCCGAAATAAGGTTAGCCAATAATGACACAATTAAAGTAACGGGAACGGCAAAAAATAAATTGTACATAGAGACGCAAGGGGAAATTGATATTGATGTATATATTCTCCCAGTAACTTCACACCCGTTTATTCTAGGGACGGATTATTTGATGAAAAACAATGTTGTGTTAGATTTTAGCAAAATGTCATGTCAATTGAATACCGCAAATGTTCAAACTCATAAGCGACTTAGTCTTGAACCAAATACAGAAACTATTGTTTGGGCTAGGGATCCGAATTACATTACATTGGGATTACAAGGTGTGTGCTCCAAAAGCAAGTTTTCCTGTAGTAAAGGTTTGCTTGTAGCTAAATCTGTTGTTACCGTACCGTACAACAGGAATGTTCCGGTAAAACTTTTAAATCCAACAAGTTAGAATGTCGTTATTCCGAAAGGCCGTACAATAGAAGAATTTAGTGTACTAAATAACGAAAACGAATGTGCATCGTTTTCAGATACTATACCGGAAGTACAGCATGTAGAAGTTTCCGACATTATTGATTCACCTCATTCACAATTTACTCGCTCGAAACCCGACTATTCAAAAGTGAAGTCGCTGTTTACGTTACCAGAAAATTTGCAAGAAACTGAATTAGATGAACTAGCGTGTTTGTTGCATGACAATATTTAGATCTTTTCGTCACGGAAGATAATCCGAATTTAGGCTTCACGTGTGTGGTGGAACATAAGATTTTACTGAAACCGGACGCCGTTTTTTTCTATATTTCGGAACGGGAAAAGTAAGAGTTTGACTAACAATGATTAAGTTCACGTGTTTCTGGTACTCTGTTATATACTAGTAGATTATTTTCCTGTTAAAAAATATGACCTAAACTCTTAAATTAGTCTCTACCATATGGCTAAATATGCACATAGCTGCAGTTGTCTGAAAGTCATAATTGGCGATAAACAAGTAAACGGATGTCAATTCTTTCAAACCTCCACTTAAATCAGTAAAAAATTGTTGCATCTCCATATTGTCGAGACTGAGCAATAATAATCTGAATCAGGCCATAAGAATATTGCACACAGGAATGCGTGAACGTGCTGTTGCTAGACAATTTCACGTCGGAAACTCATCTTACTGTCCTAACAACAACGGTACAGGTACACGGGACTTATTGGTGACCACCCATGACCAGATCAATGTGCAGTGACATCGCCACGTCAATAAAATTTGATTACGCAACCGTCATTTGCGAGACATGTTTACGACCACGTCAACTGCTAATTTATTCGTCGATAAATGTTTCCCACTTACTGAAATGCCAAAGAATCGACTGCAGAAAAACATTTAAAGCCCTAAAGTTTTAACCCCATAATTGCCAAATCACACTGTTATGGATGGTGGATGGGAAGCAGCCAAATTCAGAAGGTATAAAACAGAACTCAAAACATGCCCAACAAAATTGGTTGACCTTTCAGTCAATCGTTTAGGCGTTGGTTACAGACCCTCATTGCTTTCGACGGCGATACATCCATTGATAAGGGGAAACCCAGCTAGGGTTTCAGTGCATTCCACATGATTTGAACATTAAACATGACGTAGTCAGTTCAATTTTCGAACTGCAAACTTTTTAGACAATAAAATAATGAATGAAATTTATGTTTATACGTTTGCCTTACATAAATTGCATATTTGAAAATGAGAATAAAAAGAAAAATCTAGTGTTGCGTTTTTAGAGTCCGTCAGTATATATCATATATAATTCTCGGCAAAGTTGATGTTTTAAGTTTCCCTGTTCCACAGTGGCAATAAAAATGTTCGTTCTTTTGTCTTTTTTGTATCTTTGTCATCTTATTGCACTGGTAGGTATGCGTATATTTTAGTTAGGCACAAAATTATAAAAAAAAATCTGTTTTTGTCCTTATATTTTTGTCCTATTTCCTCTCTACATGCACTTGATTTTATTGGTTGTTCAGAGTTGTTACCTTTTTTCTATGACATCAACTCAAGTATTACTCATCGATTTTCACAACACAATGTAAACAGCATAATGTTTTCCGGGAAAATAGGTATTTCCTATCAATCCTTTTCAAAGGTACTATTCAGGTTCAAACTATAACAAAAACGTAGTTCAGATTATAATGCGACTATGATGCAAAATCGGGGATCAAATTACATGTGTTTATATAAATCATTTTTTTCTTCCTTGTCTGCAATTGAAACATATAGAAAAATAGTTGTTTGTAAATAAACCCCCAATTGTCGTCTAATTGTTAACACTATTGGTGGCCTATATTTAGTTCTTATGGTTCTCCATACGCATGTTCTAATATTTGCATCCGGCTTTGTATATCGGAGAATCAACATTTTGTCTATTACGTTTCTTGGTAAGTTCCATATCATCTATGTATTTGGAAAATTATTATAAGTCTGTTAAAATCTTATGTTAATAATAATCATCCTGATTTGCAGTTTTATTCATGGTTGACCAATTTTAATTAGTTTCTTTGTTTTGATTTTTCAGTCATTAAAGTTATAACATAACTATCATATATCTTAGTATATGATTACTTTATATTTGATTTAAGTTTACTTTGAATAAATAAGTAATACAACATTTGCGTCAATCGATTTTTTATAAATTAATGCGACGGTAAGCAGCTGTAGTGTGTGTATAAATCGATTTTACAAGACTGCTCATGTTAAGTTCGACACGTGACAGCACATTATGACCGTGTAATTGAACGAATCATAAGTAAACAGTTTGATAGGTACAATTCTTCCGTATGTATGTCTAGAAAACTGTGCATGTATACTAGTACTTGTAGCAAAGTAACATATTCTTATTCTTATAATATTTTGAAAGATAGTCTTCACGTTTCGTGGACAGATAAACTATCGCTAATCAAACGGTTAGAGCTTCGGGCGCATGAACATTTATAAAGTGTTGTTTTCATTTTTTTTTATTTGAACACAAAATACAAATACTTTACTGAGGGGGGCAAGAGGGGGTCCATTAACAGGTTAACAATTTTTTATTTTGCTCAAAACAGATCTATAAATTTTAAAATACTGATAACCAATAACAGCAGCAATTTAAATTATCTCAAATGAGAAAAGAGTTAACAGGGGTCATTTTTTCACAATAACAGTTAACAACAATGTCAATTTCAAGAAAACAGATAACAGCTAATTAGCCAATAACATTTAACAGCACATATATTTTCAAATAACAGTTAACAAAAGTTGAAAAATACCTAAAACACCTTAACAGAAAAGATCTTGCCCCTCCCCCTCTTTACTGGCACAAACACAATTACAGTAATTGTCAAAGGCCAGCATATTATGTATTTTATAATTAAGAAGATAAAAGAATAATAAACTTTTACATATAACTTTAAATATTTGATTGTTTCATCATGTACATGCAGAACTCTCAGATCGAATCATATTCCTTTTCCGTTGCATTGAATCGCATAACATTAGTTTAAAATTCAATAAAAATGGTAATAAACTAACAATAACTTTTCTTTCATTTTTATTGGGTCATTTTTAGTGACATTGGTGGTATTGGTCATTACAGTCAATAATCTGTACCGATTGGGAGCTTAATCGATAGTTTGACAGTAAAAGAACAACTAGATATGTATTGCCGAATTTCAAATCTATGTTATTTATATTGTTTGATCCTGTGCGTGAAAAAGTTACTTAAACATTTATGTATACCCAGTTACTATAGTGATCCTTTGTTATAAGTGATTTTCTGGATGACAGAGGCGGATTTAGAGGTTTTTTTTAGGGGGCCCGGGACTCCTCTTTTGTGGAAAAAATTTGGTTGATTATACAAGGAATCACTGAAGCATGACTGGAGCGGGCCCCCTCTTAAGCAGTCAGTGGGCCCCTCTTATGAAAATTTCTGGATCCGCCATTGGGATGAACACTTGTCATAAAGGAAATGGGCACTAAAATTGCAATAGATAGCTAACGCTCGTACTTAATATATATACCGAGTTACTACAGTGATCCTTTGTTATAAGTGATTTTTTAATGAACACTGTCATAAAGGAAATGGGCACTAAAATTGCAAATGATAGCCTAACGCTCGTACTTAATCATGAACATAAAATTCTTTCACACACAAATGTGAATTCATTGTGAAATGTATTCACCGTCTTTAATTACCTGAGGTTTTAAACTACATATGATTTCTTTCAAGTTGATTGCTCTTAAAAAAAATGATTAGATTTTTACCTGTGTTTTACATCGCATGTCTATACAGAGATGAACATTTTGATTAATAAGGGTTTCATATTTCGAATGCTGTCCTGATCATTTCTTATTTTCATCTTGTAGCGTAAAGTATTTTAAAGCTTGGAGCAATGACAGGATAAAGTCTTCCTGGTTTTTTTCTTCTTGACTGCACTTTTGTAAAATTGCCAAATTTACATTTAACAAGGATTTGTATAGTAAGATACTATACAATTCCTTGCTTTTAATAAAATACGCAATATACATGGTTGGTTTGGTTTCTTTTAAAATTACACAAAGATAACAATTTGCTACCGTTCATATAAACTGAATTACAAAAGTAACGCAAAGCCACATTTAATTTCTTTGCAACTTAAAAAATGAAAACAACACGTTATAAATTTCATGCGTCCCAAGCGCTTTTCTGGATTTACCTTCTGAAACAGTTGAAGAGCTATATAACAAAAAAAACTACCCTTAGGATTGAGTTGAAACCTTAGTTTCTTTATAATCTAAAAATTTATAAACGGACAATTTTAAAAAGGTTTATTGTAAATCATGTCAGTACCAAAGTACTGACTACTGAGCTGATGATACCCTTGGGGACTGATAGTCCACCAGCAGAGGTTCGACCAAATTCTAATAAAGGGGCCTCGGTGGCCGAGTGGTTTTAAGTAGTTCATCTACTGTATCACTAGCCTGTCAATACTGGGGTTCACATTTCATTTTAACTCGCAATAGTAATAGTCAGAAATTTTTGAAACAGCGGTTTTGACATCAAGGATGTAACATTCTGTTTCAAAGAATTTTTGATAATATTTCAATTATCAAAACAAGGTTTTTATCCCAGAATGATTTTTTTGTAAAACAACATGTCTAGTTTCTTTGATGTTTGACTCTTCAGTGGCAAGCTCTGGTGCTGTTTTAATTATATTTTTAGCTTTAATAAAGTTTCCAGTAAGCACTTTTTTCAATTTTTAACCAAAATTATGTTAAAATATAAAGTGTCTGCAAAAAGGTGCTGCGTTTCTTGTGTTAGTAAAGTTATTTCGGGTGTAAAGTTTATATTTACAACTCATTAATTTCTATTGAAAGCTTGATTTCCATGGGATACCGTGGTACTAAATATGTGTTTTATAATTTTTAATTCAGTTGTTGTGAAATTGTTTGTAGAGGAAAGAATATATCGTGGTCATACATTCCACGTATTTCATACATATATTCTGTTTCAGACTAGGAAAGATGGGTGGAGGTGTCTTAGTTGGAATCAGTATTGTAGCAGGAGTTTTACTGTTGGTTGGATTAGTCACACCAGGATGGCTTGGACTTGACTTCAAGTCAGGCGAGAATGATGTTTCGGTAAGACTATATTTTTAAACGTCATTAGGTTATCTTTCAGAGTCCATAACTATACCAACAGGTGTCCCGAGTTTCTTGTGCAAATTAAGTTGTCTTGTAATTTGTAGCCGGACACACGGACACCGTGAACATTTCAAGGTATATACTTTTATCGCTATTTTACGAAATTGTCCTTTGATCTTACTGACTGATAATTTCCTTTCTCAGCACAGTAGAGTGATATGAAAAATTATCGCTAGAAACTAGGAGCACAGGTGGCGCTGTCAATGAAATTAACAACGTCGTCATAGGTAAAATAGCGATAAACAGATTATCTCCTATTAAAGGTTTTTCTATACAAACTAATTAATCGTTTCAAAGGTGTAATACATACCTCAGAGTATAGATTTTGTATATAGATACCGGTGTCCTATAGCCATTTCCCCCATGCTTTTTTTTTGACATGTACCCACTCTCCCCCCCCCCCCCACACTCAGCGTGATGGTGGGGGAACCAGGATCAGGCCTGTTCTCCCCCTAGTTACTCGAGAAGCTCATTTCCCCTTGTAGTATCGTCGGCGACGTCAATTGGAAATTAATTATCCATTAAATGATAGTTACCTTTTTGAAATAGTTAACCTTTATCACACATTCATCGTTGACACATAAACATACCAGTGAACATGTTTAAAGACTGATGGACCCATAGACATACTAGTGGACACACACACACAGACTGGTGGATGTGTAGACAAGCTGCATGTGGACATATTAACAGACTGGTGGACTCATAAACAGACTTGTAGATATGTTGACAGACTAGTGGCGGCAATGGACATTTGAGCGCCAAAGTGTATGACATTTGAGCGCCGTAATTTTAGGACATTTGAGCGAAAATAAAAATAAGCATAGGCCATTTGAGCGAAAAAAAAAATTAAGAATGATCAAGGAGTACCTCTTCCGTTCGCCAGATATTATCTGTTACCCCTGCTCACCACGGGGAGGTGGAAGTAGGATTTCGAGCAGGATATAGTTAATAAAATGTGGAGTTTATAACGCACAAAGTTTAAAACATCTTTTAATAGTAAAAAAAACCAAAGCTCTGTCATAAAACTTAAAACTCAGCAATGGCATTATTTAAAAGTCAGTTGGGGCTTGAAATTTATATCCTAGGCTTCCGAAATAAAAATCCCTCGTTATTTCCTGTTAGCAGTGCCGCGAATGAAAGACCCGGAGATTCTGTTCCTTTTCCTTGTCTGTCCGGCTCTGAGGTGCATCAATATTGAAACTCCGAATTTTGATACAGGTCACAGATTGTAATTTGACAAAGGTGTCAAGGAAAGTATAAATTGATGGGTGACTATGATAAAATTGCTCATTATAATGGACATGAAATGATTCGGGTCCATAGTTTGTACGTTTTGACGTAGATGGAACTGCGGCCCAGAGATAAGGGGGAAACAACGATTCGTCTGAGATGTAAGTTTCAGTCAAGTAATCGGCAAAGTCTATACAAGGCTTGTCGGTAGGTAAAACGGTCATGAAATCCTCGATAAATCAGTCTGCTACTTCCTCTGGATCTAAGAAATCTATCCTTAACACTCCATTCAGCCATTTACTGATATCTGAATCTATCTCTTTGTATTGTTGACTTAATCCAACTTTCTGAATTACTCGGGTGTAAAATCAAATAAAATATATTTATTTTAAAAACTTACTCTTTTTTTTTTCTTACTTTTTAAAAATATGTTCTTAACTCGTATAAAAGTATCACAGGAAATTGCGCTCAAACGTCTTATTTGAAAAACCAGGTAAGGTTAATTTTCCGGCGCTAAAAGGTCCTATGATGTCGGCGCTCAAATGACCCAATGTGCATTTTTTATTTTTGCTCAAATGTCCTATGCCCGCCCGACTAGTGAACACATAGCTAGACCGGTGGTTGAACATGCTGACACGTAGATGAACATGCGGACACACACAAACTGGTGGACACGTAGACAGACTTAGCTTGTAAGCATGTAGACAGACTCGTGAGTATATCTAATCGGCAATCCAAGCCAACAAACAGATTATTTGAGCGTTCCAGAGATCAATCATTTCTTAAGAAAATATGGAAAATATATGCATTAAATGGCCGTGAAGTTTTGATGTATATCCATTTTGTAGGGGTGGGGGGGGGGGGGGGGGGGGGTGGGGGGTGGGGGGGATAAGTGGCATGTGGGGAAAAGTGATTGTCAAATTTAGGCGGGGGAAGAATGGCAACGATTCAAATCTGGCATGGGGGAAAAATGGCTATATAGCACCGGATGTAAACATATTATATTTTTTAAACGACCGCAAAATTTTTGATTTTTGCTGTCGTGTAATGTTATGACGTTGTCATCGTCGTCATCCGAAGACACTTGGTTTCCAGACAATAACTTGAGTATAAGTGTATGGATCTCTATGAAATTGTACCTCAAGGTTCCATACCACAAAATGAAGGTTTTGGATTGATTTTGGGGGTTATTATCTTCACTGTTTAGGAATTAGGGGCCAAGAAGAAGCATTTTTCTTGTTTCAGGACAATAACTTGTGTGTAAGTGTATAGAGTTCTATGAAGTTGATCCACAAGGTTCCATACATCAAAAGGAAGGTTGGGATTGTTTTTGGGGGTTATGGCTCAAACCGTTTAGGAATTTGGGGCCAAAAAGGATCCATAAAACTAGGATTTTCTGGTTTCCAGACAATAACGAGTATAAATCTATGGATCTCTCTGAAATTGAACCACAAGGTTCCATACCATAAAAGGAAGGTTGGGATTAATTTTGGGGGTTATGCCCTCAACCGTTTTGAAAAAAGGGCCAACAATACTTTTCTAATACTTTGTATAAAATGCTTATTTTTTTACCAATTTCAATGGGGTTTTTAATTCAAAAGTCTTGATTTCTTTGGGGCTCGTAAATATGCTGAATTTTACTATGTATTAACATTTTGGATTTTGGGCCCCGTTTTTTAAATTGATCCACATTGAGGTTCAAAGGGTCCAGAATTAAACTTTGTTTGATTTCAACTAAGATTGAATTCTTGGGGTTCTTTAAATATGCTAAAACTAACCGTGTATTTAGATTTTGGATTTTGAGTCCCGTTTTCGAATTGGTCCACATTGAGATCCAAAGGGTTAAAAATTAAACTTTGAATGGTATCATCAGAAATTGAATTCTTGGGGTTCTTTGATATGCCGAATCTAACTGTGTATTTAAATTTTTAATTTTGGGTCCCGTTTCAAATTAGTCCACATTAAGGTCCAAAGGGTCTAAAATTAAACTGTTTTGATTTCAGCAAAAAATGAATTATTGGGGTTCTTTGATATCCTGAATCTAACCGTGTATTTAGATTTTGGATTTGGGCCCGGTTTTCGAATTGGTTCACCTTAATGTCCAAATGGTCCAAAATTAAACTTAGTTTCTTTTTAACAAAAAAATGATTTCTTGGGGTTCTTTGTTATGCTGAATCTAAACATGTATTTGTAATTTTTGATTTTGGGCCCAGTTGGTTCAAATCGGGGTCCAAAATTTAACTTTGTTTTATTTCAATAAAAATTAAATATGTATGGTTTTTTGATATCCTGAATCTAACCGTGTATATAGAATTTTGATTTTGGGCCCCGTTATTAAATTGGTCCACATTGAGGTCAAAATGGTCCAAAATTAAAGTTTGTTTGATTTCATCAAAAATTGATTTTGGGGGTTCTTGATAAGCCGAATCTAACATGTATTTAGATTATTATATTGGACCATAATAGGTAAATGTCCAATTTTCAAGTTTTGCCCCTTAACTTGTACCAACTGTTTAGGGTTCGACATCTGCGATCGTTTCAAGCTGCGCCCTGCGGAGCATTTTATTTTCATTATTGAAGGGCCTACGGTTGCCTCTAATTGCTTACATTCACTTCATTTGAACTATGGTGGATAGTTGTCTCATAGGCAATCATACCACATCTTCTTTTTTTTTTTGTAATTTATTATGCATACTCATTCAACAGCATGAGATATGCTTAAGTGAAAATTGGTGTCCTAACTTGTATGATGCGATACAGCAATTTCAAAAGTTGCAACCCCAAATTTATTTTCTGATATGTTGGATATAAAGAATTGAAGTTTGATTGGTTGGTGAGACCATACAATTTACGAAAATTGATACTAAGCTTAAATTAGAAAACTTTTTTTTTTTAGATCAACATGAATATATTTTACAGCAGAGTATGTGTACAGGAATCTGCTATTGACGCTTGTATGACTATGTCAAATGCTGCTGCTATGGAGCGTGCGTCGAGCTCAGTTGACAGTAAGTGTGCTTAAAATATACAGTAACCCTTATAAAAAGTTTTAACAAATGTAGCCTTTATTCTTAATCGAAGTTATAAGTGGTATTTTTGAATGAGAGTTGAAATCAGTGGGAGGATAAACGTGTTATTTTAGGCCTATAATCATAACAAACTATGTGTACTGCACCGTTGTCGGCATTCTGCTAGGAAATGAATGTATTTTATACCCAAGCATAGGAATAATTACATGCTTGTTTCATAGTTTCATAGTTGCATAATATTAAAATTGCATCCTGGGACAATGTATTACATTTATCTATGTGTCTCAGTTGTGTCTAAGTACTTAGTGAAACTTTTATGTTCAACTTTGCATCTCTGCAATAGATACAATTTCTTATATAACAAATTCTTTCTTTTCATTTTACATTATTGGGATAATGAAAAGGTTCTTGATGAATGTTGTTTATTGTTCACTCGTTTCAGGTTTCAGATTTACAGAGTATTTAGTTGAAGCTGTCGGAGCCTTAATTGGCTGTGGTTGTGGAACTATATTAGCCATAATTTATGGTTTAAGTGTTGTGAGAGAACAAGACAGCGTCAGACCTCGATCTAGCAATTTAGCCGTTACCGGACTAGTGCTCTCTATAATAGGAGGTAAGAACGTAATATGTAATAATATCCGAGTGATATAAGCAATATTTTATGTAGAATGAGAAAGGAAGTGATGTATACACTACATTGAAAGTTCGTGATTATAAATTTACCGTGCCAACACTTCTGTGGTTGTTGTCATCAACCTTTCTATTTCAGAAAGTAAATGGCAATAATGGCTATATGAATTTTGCATTGAAACTTGGGGTTTAAAAAAAGATATTAACCTGAGGGTTTTGGTTGATATAAGTAAAACAATTTCGTGGTTTGTTTGTTTTAGTGGTAAAATAACAGAACCCCGACTATTCATCGACGTGTGATACCCATTGTTTCTATGACAGATAATATTCATAACATTTTAAGAGAATGATCTTTGACATTAAAAGAGTCTGAAGTTGATTTTGAGAATTTCATACCTTGTATATAGGTGCTTTATGTTACGAAGTTTCCGTCTGTCATATGTCCATTATGACCTTATTTTCATGGTTTTGCGACTGCCAAATAAATTTCTTACTGAATATGAATACTGGGATAACTGTATGTGGTATTTGCAAGGTACTAAAAATTCATAAATTTTGCGATGTTTTTAATATTGTTAAAATTGCAACTGAATAGTTGTCACAAAATATAAAAATATGTGTATGCAGCATTTCCTAAAATAACAAAAGATTATCTTGCATATTGGTACTAGTTCAACAATTTTAATTATAAATGCGCACAAAAATTTCTTAAATTACAGCATACATGTAAATCACACAGGGTTCACATGACCTTGACCTAATTTCATGGATCAGTGATCAAGGTTAATGTTTGATGGTCAAGTCTGTATCTCAGAAACCATTAGCAATTTGCCAACTGTACCAGTATTTGGTGTATTATATGATTTTAAAGTGTACATTTTCCCTTTCATGTTCCCTGGCAGAGTTCATTTGATATTTTATTGGGTTAAAATCCAGATTACAGGATTGTTACCAAAGACAATAAACATTGGCTATACATAAACATACAAACACATATCTGCCCACATTTAAAAACATTGTATAATATATAAATTTGTATATCCCCTCCATTATTAACAAAAAATATTGTTACATTGATATATATAAACTTATCTCCGCTGAAGAGGTGGTACTAGAAGTTATTTATTACTCAATAAAGCATTTCTAGAATTGTAGATGTCACTTATGAATTTTAAAATTTCTAATTATATCATTCTCACCACACCTATACACAAATTTAAATCTTGATTCATTAGTCATATTTAAAAAAGGGAACTATTTCACTAATTTTGGAAAATAATTGTTCTCTAATTGTATTTAGTTTTCTACATTTTATAGTGAAATGAAAACCATCTTCTACTTCTAAAAGACACAAGGGACAAATTCTTTCTTCTAAAGGACCGTTAGTATATGTCTACCTTGTTCAATTTTAAGAACACTATTACTTATGCGAAATAGGTGATTACGCAGTGGAAATTGATAACAGCTTATGCCCATCAAAACATGTTTGTATAGGCTAGGATACAGTTAGTCCTATCACGAAATGTTTCCATTAAAAAACATTAATATAAAAGAGGTCAGTAATGGGGAAATCAAATTTACGGTAAAAGTAAGTTATTACACAAGTTATCTGCATTGGAAACAATTATTGGGAAATAAGGGGGATGAAAAGCATTTGGGATGTTGGATATAGGGGGTAAGAATGTAGGGATGTGGAATATAAGGGGTCAAAAATGGGGATGTTGGATATAGGGCTTAAAAAAGTGGGATGTGGAAAAAATACAAAAAAAGCTAGATTTGTGTGATGAGCACCCTGTATCACCCCTCGCAAATGTTTGAAACCGAATGCTACCTTTCTCTCATAATAATCCAACATCATATTTTATACAGGTATTTGTGGCGGCATTTTGGTTATCGAATTCATCATTGTACACACTAACTTGGATAGTGTGACTGACACCTTCGGAGAACAACTAGAATCTAGTAACGTTGGATTTGAGAAGTCCTTCCCATACTCACTGGTGATAATGTCCTTTGGTCTGTTCTTTGAGCTCATTGCCGTCATCGTTCACATTGCTTGCATGAGAACTCCGTACAGTGGAGCTCCAAATGGTATCATCCTAACTCCTTCAGTAAACGGACCTACAGCTGTCGTTGTCCAGCACTCGACCGTCTCATCAACTCCTTACGCTAGGTTCGCTTAGAATGAACACTGTGAACTGCATGTTGTTTGACATTAACAAAATTTGATTGCTTACTTATAAACTGTATTATACCAATTTCATTTGACACAAAAAAAAATATGAATCATGAATAGTGAAGTTACATTATGTCTTTTAGTTCAAGTACAAGTTTGGTGTTTTGATTTTTCCTCCTGAAACACGTCAAATATCAAAAGGACCGTTAGAATTATATTGGTACACCTGAAAACAATTTCAACTTAATAAGTCAATTCTAGTTATGAGCCTTATTTCCTGAGAGTCTATAAATCATGATCACATGACGGTACCCTCACAATGGCGGATTTACCGATGACGCACAGTGTGAATGTTATCATATTCACATATCTGAACTACTTAAAATTTCCATGGTGCCCCAAGTCGTACAGGTTCTGGATCCGCCCCATACCTAATAACTCCCGGTGTATAATTTCGTATAAATTGACTTTCGATGTTTAATTCAAGTAGTATGTACTATTTGGAACTATAAATGATGTTATATTTACAAAACAGTAGCGACATGAATGAAATGATTCCACTTGTATTCTGGTGAATGAATAGCGGGTTATCTTATTTAGTGTTTGCTCATAAAACTTGCTTTATATTTGTATTTATATTACATTTTATTTTTCGTAAATCATCAGATAGAAAAATTTTATATTTATATAAGGTCAGTTTTTTTTATTCTGAACCATTATCCTGGTTTTAAAATTTTTTATGGTTAACAGTTTTTTTATGGGTCGGTCTTAACCATGCGGTTGAATGGTTAAAGAACATTTCAACCGTGATAAAAAGCATGGTTTATAGCTTAAACATTTTTCTTCAACCTTTGCGTTTTTTTCTCCCTTTTAACATGTTTATGGTTTAAGCTTAAACATGTTTCATGTTGTTTTTAACCAGTAACTAGTTTGAGTATAAAACAACAGGCCTCAAATGAACCCCTTTGCAAACTCGTAGTCAACTAACTCGTATCGTATCCAATTATTACCAATATGTACCTTTACCAACTGGTACCAAAATTTCATAAGCATTTTTGAAATGGTCGTATATCATCTTACAGAAAAATAAAAAGATAGAATTTCATATACAAGTAATTTGAAGCAATATCAATTTGTTTGGAATGCTGTAATACTTAGTCTTGATGGAAGTTGAGGCAGTTGAGTTTATTTATACTTCTGCAATCATCATCTTCACCAAAATAAAAAAAATATGGCTTTACTGCTGACAAAAAGCTTTGTATGGTAGTCGACCATGGTTTATCGATGTTGCGATGTTGCACATTATGCAGGAAAACTGTCACGTCTCGTTAAGATGTTATACAGTGCAACACATGTGACAACATGAAACATCATCCTTGTCAGGAAAAAGGCAATAATATTTCTTTAATTTTCACTTTTTTAACATAGATATTAAGGCCATTATGTGATTGATTGGTTTGAAACTTTTGAAATTTATTAAAACATTTGTGTTTAATAAAATCATTGGCTCTGAAAATGTAGTATTTATTGCAGTACGTTTTTGTTTCTTATTTATATACAAACAGTAGGGAAAATACAAACCGTGTAAGGTATAATTCTTCATGTTATGCAGGTTTTTTTTGTGTTTAATATATGTGATCATGTCTACTTTTTATTTGTCCTTTGTGCATATATCATCCCATCACTCCCCTCCAACTTCGTTGAAATACCGCATTGTTTTATAATTTAAGATCAGATAAAAAAAGTCACATAGATAATGCATACGAATAATATCTAAAAATTGGAAACTAGTTGGACAAGGTACGAGTTGGTGAAGATAAGATAATAGGAACGATTTTTTGTCGTACATCCCACATTTGGATGTAAAAGAAACTAAATACTTACAAATAAAAATCTATAGGTCATATATAATCTAGATTTTATTAATGTTAAAGAATCTCATTTATAGAGGAGCTTAGTCATTATTATTCCAAAATGCATCATAATATTAAAACTTAGTATTATAGGTTTTTAGGTATAACATTCTATCAACATTTCAGAAACTATATATATAAGGTTTGATATATTACAGCAGTCGAGCAGTAAATGGTGGGGCATTGCTATAAAGAAATTTGGTTTATAAATTAATTCACTGTAAGGATGTAAAGTTATTAAAACACAGGATTTTGTTTTCAGATTTGCGAATTTGAGTAATATAACATACTTCTAACAACGTTTCGTTTATTTTTATTCGGTTATAATTTATGTACATATTTAATGTTGAATAATAAAATAGTTTTATAGTAGTTATTGTTAAAGTGTTTTCTTGTTAGTATACAGAATGATACCAAATACTAGTATTAATGAGTGTCAATAAACCCCAAATGAAAAAAAAATAAAACGGATCAACAAAAGATGTTTCCAGCTTAGAATCAGCACATAGTCTGGACTTGTCATCTGTGACTAGTGTTACACCATGATCATTTGTTTGTGTAACATTAATCTCGTTATCTACCATCAACATCAAATCCGTGAATAAAAAAAGCCTTGCAAGAACAATAACATTTGACGACAAGCACATTATCATATGATTGGATGTGATAGGGTTAAAATAACTTTGTAAGCACTGAACCAAGTCCCTTAATAACAGATAACGCAATAATAACTGTGTAACAGACGACAACTAAATGATTCAATCAGTTTATCTTCGATATATCGAAGAATGCTGGTCAGTACTAGCTGGATACGAGCTCATAGTACTTAATCTGCTGATATAGAAAGCATACACTGTATTGGCTGCACTCTACATTTATATTATATGATATTTGTTACTATTGGAGGATGTATTTTTCAACAGACTATCGGCAGTCCGATGGGAACCAACTGCTCCTTTTCTTGCCGACTTGTTCCTTTGTTCATATGAAGCTGACTTCATTAGGAGGTTCTTAGAGAGGATACAAAGCAGCTATCCTTTAACTACATGCTTCGCTATATAGATGATGTTCTCTCACTAAATAATTTTTAGTTTGGTGACTATGTTTAACGCATTCAACCCATCGAACTTGAAATAACGGATACAGCAGATACAGTTAAGTCTGCCTCATAACTTAACTTATATCTAGATATTGGCAATGAGCGTCGGTTGAGAACAAAACTTTACGACAAGAGATGATTTCACCTTCCTAATTGTGAACTTTCCATTTCTATGTAGCAACATTACAGGAGCGCCTGCATATGGAGTATATATCTCCCAGTTTACACGATATTTCAGAGCTTTTATTTTCTATCATGGTTTCCTTGTTAGAAGGTTGCTGCTTAAAATGAAGCTATTGAACCAAGATCATCCCTTTGAAAATTTTACGGAAGTCATCACGACTTAGTTGGTTGACAGATATGTTCCAATTGTCACCGTTTTTGTACTTAAACGAGCAACACGACGGGGTCACCTTGAGCAAGATTTGCTTATTCATCCGGAGCACCTGAAATCACTGCCGGTATTTGGTGGGGTTCGTGTTGCTCAGTCTTCAGTGTTCTACGTGTTTGCGTACTGTTTATCTTTTCGTTGTTTGTTGTTTTTATACGACCGCAAAAAAATTTTTGTGGTCGTATATTGGTATGACTTCCAGACATAACTTGTGTGTTAGTGTATGGATCTCTCTGACATTGTACCACAAGGTTCCATATCACAAAAGAAATGCTGGGATTGATTTTGGGGGTAATTGCCTCAAAATATTAGGAATTAGGGGCCAAAAAAGGGGCAAAAAAACAAGCATTTTTCTAGTTTCATGACAATAACTTGTGTGTAAGTGCATGGATCTTTCTGAAATTGTACTACAAGGTTCCATATCACAAAGGAAAAGCTGGAATTGAGTTTGGGGGTAATTGCTGAAACGTTTAGGAATTGGGGGCCAAAAAGGGGCCAAAAATAAGCATTTTTCTAGTTTCCAGACAATAACTTGTGTTCAAGTGTATGGATCTCTCTGAAATTGTACTGCAAGGTACCATACCACAAAGGGAAGGCTGGGATTGATGATGGGGGTAATTGCCTCAATATTTTAGGAATTAGGGCCAAAAAGGGGCAAAAAACAAGCATTTTTCTAGTTTCCAGACAATAACTTGTGTTCAAGTGTATGGATCTCTCTGAAATTGTACTGCAAGGTACCATACCACAAAGGGAAGGCTGGGATTGATTTTGGGGGTAATTGCCTCAATATTTTAGGAATTAGGGCCAAAAAGGGGCAAAAAACAAGCATTTTTCTAGTTTCAGGACAATAACTTGTGTGTAAGTGTATGGATCTTTCTGATATTGTACTACAAGGTTCCATATCACAAAGGGAAAGCTGGGTTTGAGTTTGGGGTTAATTGCCCTAATTGTTTAGGAATTTGGGGCCAAAAAGGGGCCAAAAAACACATTTTTCTAGTTTCCAGACAATAACTTGTGTTCAAGTGTATGGATCTCTCTGAAATTGTACTGCAAGGTACCATACCACAAAGGGAAGGCTGGGATTGAGTTTGGGGGTGATGAATCATAAGGGGGTTCAAAAATTTTGGGGGGGGGATTTTTTTTTTTTTTCTTTTAAAATTTTCCATTTTAAGTTGGTTATTTCTGATTTATATTTAAAAGCAAATAATAATGATATGGTAGGAGATACACACCAAACAGGATGTGTAAATTATTATATAAGTATTGTGCAATAGCAAGAAATTTTCAATTGCACGGTATTGCACAATAGCAAGAAATCTTCAATTGCACAGTATTGCGCAATAGCAAGAAATCTTCAATTGCACAGTATTGCGCAATAGCAAGAAATATCCAATAGCACAATATTGCGCAATAGCAAGAAATTATCAATTGTACAGTATTGCGCAATAGCAAGAAATATTTAATTGCACAGTATTGTGCAAAAGAAGATACTTTGTATAAATTGCTTATTTCTTGACCAATTTCAATGGGGTTTTATTCTTGAATTCTTGGGGTTCTTTAATATGCTGAATCTAACCGTGTATTTAGTTTTTGGATTTTGGGCCCCGTTTTTAAATTGGTCCACATTGAGGTCCAAAGGGTCCAAAATTAAACTTTGTTTGATTTCATCAAAAATTGAATTATTGGGGTTCTTTGATATGCCGAATCTAACCATGTTTTTAGATTCTTAATTTTTGGTTCCGTTTTCAAATTGGTCTACATTAAGGTCCAAAGGGTCCAAAATTAAACTTAGTTTGATTTTAACAGAAATTGAATTCTTAGGGTTCTTTGATATGCTGAATCTAAACATGTATTTAGATTTTTGATTATGGGCCCAGTTTTCAAGTTGGTCCAAATCGGGGTCCAAAATTAAACTTTGTTTGATTTCAACAAAAATTGAATATATGGGGTTCTTTGATATGCTGAATCTAACCATGTATTTAGATTTTTGATTTTTGGGCCCCGTTATCAACTTTGTCCACAATGAGGTCAAAAGGGTCCAAAATTAAACTTTGTTTGATTTCATCAAAAATTGAATTCTTGGGGTTCTTTGATATGCTGAATCTAACCATGTATTTAGATTTTGGATATTGGACCATAATAGGTGAATGTCCAATTTAAAATTTTTAAGTTCTTACACCACATTCATTCTGTGTCAGAAACCTATGTTGTGTCAAATATTTAATCACAATCCAAATGCAAAGCTGTATCAAGCTTGAATGTTGTGTCCATACTTGCCCCAACTGTTCAGGGTTCGACCTCTGCGGTCGTATCAAGCTGCGCCCTGCGGAGCATTTTATTTTGACATGGCATTGTCACTTTATTTTCGACTTATGAGTTTGAATATCCCTATTGTATCTTTCGCCTCTTAATTGAGCAAAATTCATACAAGAACGTCATGTACAGAGCATAAAAACAAGATCCTTGACAATCGTTCAAGTGAATTTTCATATTGATATGAGTTCCAGTATGGAATGGAAAAAAAGACGAAAAAAGTTGTTTTAACAGCAAATGTATTGTAATAACAAGAGTAGAGAATAACACAAAAAATTGTAAATGTATATTCTTAACAATTCAGCTCAGTAGTAAGTGCTTGGTACTGACACAATTTATAATATATCTTTCTAAAATTCTCAAGTTGCTAAATTTAAGAATTACTAAGAAAACTAATTTAAAAAAAGTACAACTCCCTCAGGCAAAATGACCTTATAGGTGGATTTTGGAAAATAATTTTGGTCCCTTTTGGTCATATAGCTCTTGGAAGTATTTTTACATGATGGTGATGTTTTGCCTTCAAATTTGGGGTTTGAGTGTGTTCATGGTGAAGTAAATCCAGAAATGCGCGTCATATAAACTTAATTCCAACATTATTAAGTTATTTACATCCCCGTTTAACAAAGTGAGGATAGTGATCGTTGTATCCGTCCGTTCGTCCGTCGGGACCAATTTCTTTTAAACCAAAGAAAGAATTTCAACGAAGCATTCACATAATCTTTATAACGTTATGTACCCCGTAACCAGTAAATGGACATCAATTAAACTTTCACGGATTCTTCATGACATAATGCCATTGTGCACCTTTTTTTGATCAGAATGATGTCGGGTTTCCCATAATAAAACACGGTACTTGTACAAATAAAGTCTCCTGTTATCCCTCTTCCATGTTGAACAAGCGGTAATGTGGATATTTCTTTTTGCGTACCAGTTCATTTTGGGGTCCTCTTCGCGGTCCGCGTTTAAACTATGTCGATTTCTTTGAAAAATTAGAGACAATGATTTAGATTTTAACAACTAAAGTTTCAAGTGTTGGGTGTAAATTTCAGGATAAAAACAATATATGTACATTGTAGGGAAATATAAAATTTATTTGTACTCGCTGCGAAACAGGAGAAAAGCTCGGCGAGCCTCGCTTTTTGTCCTGTTTCTAAAGCTCATACAAATAAATTTTATATTTTCCGACAATGTACATAAATTGTATATTTATGACCACAAAAGGAAGGTTGGGATTGATTTTGGGAGTTTTGGTCCCAACAGTTTAGGAATCAGGGGCTAAAAAAGGGCCCAAATAAGCATTTTTCTTGGTTTTTGCACAATAACTTTAGTATAAGTAAATAGAAATCTATGAAATTTAAACACAAGGTTTATGACCACAAAAGGAAGGTTGGGATTGATTTTGGGAGTTTTGGTCCCAACAGTTTAGGAATTAGGGGCCAAAAGGGTCCAAAATTAAACTTTGTTTGATTTCACCAAAAATTGAACTATTGGGGTTCTTTTATATGCCGAATCTAACCGTGTATTTAGATTCTTAATTTTTGGTCCCGTTTTCAAATTGGTCTACATTAA